TGGGGCATCACAAAAGCAACAGTAACAAGGAACTATCTCAACCTACCTACCCAGCCTAAGTAGCAAGATAAACCAACTTAAAGCAGTTCTAAAGGGACGAGTAGGCACTAAGACAAACTTGACCTGACGACCCCGAATGGAGCTAGCATTCTTAAACATGTTGGTTGGGTGATTTAGCCGATATCCTCCACTAACTACTCGAAAAGCAAGCCAGATTTTCCGTCTTCTTGGGATTTTCAGGAAAACTTGAGTGAAATACGAAGACAACTGCATTCGATGCGTCAGATGCCTGAGATAGCCAATATTTTATATAATAACTAGAATATTTTAGGAACGGACTGTGGAAATTACGAAAACTACTACCACCAAAAAGAAGTTTTTGTGGGAGACCAAAGTTCCGTTTAGCTAAATTTCTCTTGTGATCATGAATCGCGGGTCATCACAAGTATATGGGTCCTTATCAATGAATGCTTTGTCTACCTTCTACGCGGTGATTGATTATATATACATATAACATGTCGGGGTGAAAGGTACGTGCTGCTTAGACAGCCACTTCTGAATGAGACCGCTACATTAGAGACTGGCTAATTAAGGGATCTAGTACGATAACGTAGGCATAAGGAAGGAATCACGAAAACAGATTTGTTGAACTGCTGACATTGCAGGGAGCACGGTCGACTCATTGTTGCCAAAGAAGGAAATGCAGAAGACCCAACTCACGTCTTCCGGTGGGACCTTGTAGCTCGGGTGGTTGGAGCGTTGGCTGTACTAACGCCTTCCCTTTGCTGTCGTGGGTTCGAATCCCACCGAAGCGTCGAGTTTTTCACAGTTGGATCAATATGAATTATTCGAAATATGCTAAAACATCTATTCTGGAATTTTGGAGGCGGACAAATAAACTAACGGCTTAAAGGCGTTCCTACGGGCTACGCGCTATCCTGCTTGATTGTTCAGGTGATATTTCAGCGGATTGAGCAGTTGGTGTTCACCAAGTATTAAAAAGTGCTAAGCTAATTATGCTGAGGACACCTTTGTAGTTGTCGAAACAACACACGTTGAGCACCTTAAAGAATTACTGGACACGGCCGACCCCAATATCCAATTAACCCTGAAAGCTGAAACAAACAACCCACTCCCCTTCTCCGAGGTCGTGGTGCAGCAGTGTACAATTTGGTAACTGCAAACTACGGTATTCAAAAAAGTCACCGACACAAGCCAAATACTACACTTCAAAAGTAATCACTCTGTCTCACAACGGTGACTGTGTTCACACTCTTAAATCGAAGGTGTACAACTTGTAGTTGAAAACACTATAAACTAGCGCTATGAAAAAGGGGAATCAAAATTATTTGGGGATTGAACAACTTTTTTAACTGGAATAAACTGCACTTTGAGTAAATAATTTGAGGAAGCTAATTTATTGCAAAACGAGTACAGAAACGGATATATTTGTGCACGCCGTCTATAAAATAAGGTTGTATATATAAAAACATTTGAAATCATTGGGAAAAACGCAAACTACTTAAGTGACCATTTTTGCGACCATGATCTTTGCAGGCGATCAGAATGAAACGAATTCAAAATCCGGCACCTTGACGTGACTGAAATATCGTGGGGTTTAGGGGGTGGTGTGGACGGGGACCCACATTGCAGCTGTACGGTCTCTCCAGCTTCGTCGATGAGGTTGGGTGGGTGTTTAACGATCTGAAACCGATGAGAATACCCCACCAGATACACTACCGGCAATTACCATTCATGAAAGTGTAGTTTGGTCTTAGCGCAAGCACTGCCACGGTGCTAGCAACCTCTTATAAGCAACACACTAACGGTTGCCACCAAACGCATCGGTTAACCTGGTGGATACTTCTACTACACCCCGTCCTCGCACCCAGATCTCATCCGTGGCTCCACAAAGCACGGCGGCCACACCCCCGTGGCCGTCCTTGACCGATGAGCTAAACAAGATGGTGTTCGAGGTGCATGCGTCTTCACACCCGGCACTCTCTGAACTAACCCCCATCCCCTACCACACCCAAGAGTCCCACTGAAATTGCGTACAATATCGTGGGCGGGTCAGGTTAATTCGTGAGAGGGGGCTATAAACGGGATCCTAAAAAACACGTCGTCGACAAGCTGGCAGTGGTTTGTGGACGCAATATCTGCGACCGAAAAAATATACAAAGCAACCAACCCCGTCCCCATCCGCGTGTCTGCCTAGAGACTATAAGGGAGGCGCCGCTCACTCCAGCAACCCAGAATGTTCTTTCTCTGTTAAGCAATCATGTGGCAAATCGTCCGAAAACAAAGACAGCGATGATCGCCCGCAAACTGACCGGCGAAAAAGTGGACATCGTGACTGTTTGTGAAACCCGTTTCTTTGAACAGGGACATCTAGAGGTGGGTGTCGGATACACTCTCTAAAGCGAACTCCAACGGTAAATCGAGGACATACAGAAGTCGCTTTCGCCATCAAAAGTGAATTCCTGGAACGACTGTCCTGTCAGCCGCAGGGCATTCATGATCACCTCATGACCACGAGGCTGCTACTCTGGGGAAGAAGTTCGCTGGAGACGCATACCAATGTAGAAACCCAGTGGCGGGAGCTACTGAATACCATCCTGACCACCGCGATAGAAAACTTCGGTCGCGCACGCTAACAGCATAAGCAACGGCTGTATAAATATGACGAGATCATCACTCCACTCTCTAAGAAACAAGCTACCATCGTCCTAGACCACCAGTAGAAGCACTGCCAATAAGGCTGCATAATATCGCAGTCGGCACCTAATACAAAGGAGACTGAGGTAGATGCAGAACGATTGGCCAACCCCCAAAGCTGAACAGATCCAGAGATATGCCCGTCGTCGTGAGATGAGGAATTTCTTTGCTCTCGTCAGAGTAGTCACGGTCCATAAGCCAAGGGGACTGCATCACTGTTGAGTCAGGATGAAGCAACCCCCTGATGGAAAAGTCACCGATGATGGGCCGTGCACATCAACGGCGTTCCCATATATCCGTCGACAACATGCGAAAAAGCCATCAACCAACTTCGTCAAGTGAACACCAACAACGACCTCCATTGTCAGCCTTCTCGCCTTGATACAATCAGAGCAGTGCAACCGCTGTTCCGTTGAAAGGCACCGAGACAGGCGTAATTTTAACCGAAGTTTACAAGCACGACAGAAGACGACTCTTGGGAAAGCCTATCTTGCTACTCTAGGAGGCGTAACGACAAAGACACATCTCCCAAGACCTCAAGGACGCCACCATAATACACGTCTACAAACACCAGGGGAACCGGCAACCATGTGATAATCATACAAGCACCTCCCTTATCAGTACTGCAGGAAAATCTTGGTTCCTGTCCTACTCTATCCTCCAAATACGCAGGTTAAGCACAAATTTCTTCCAGAAACATAACGCACACTCCGAAAACATTGCGCGTAGTCCACCAACAGCGGGAAAACTGCCAGAAAACAAGTAGCAGTCTAAACACCATCTTCGTGGATCTGAAGAAGGCCCCCGATTGAGTGAATTGCAATAGAATGGTGATAATGACGATGAAAATAAACGTTTGGCGCAAGACGACGAAGTCGCCATCTGAGTCTCCAGACCCAGTAAAGCCTTCCACGGACTACTGGACTCCGTCTAGGTCCGTTGCTCCTGTTCAACCTGCCCCCACAACCTCAGGACATTTGACCATCACATGAGCCTATTCGGTCATACACGCCCTCATAAAAAATCTAGGGCAAAAAAACCGTGGTCTGCACCCCATAAACACGCCTGACCTGACAGTTCGACCGACGATTTCGACGATGTCCACCGTGTGATCCAGTCAGGTTGGGAGCAGGGACGGTGACTTGCGCATGAATTGGTTTATAGTGATAGTAGACTTTCGCAGCGTCCTCCGCACTCTCTCTTCCCAACCCCCCACCTGGACCCGTTTGCAAGACAGAGTGAAAAAGACCGGAGACGGGGGGAGGCGCAGGTGGATGGCACGGTCGAACCCGCACCTTGGCGTTCCACTTCACACCCCCTAGTCCACACAACAACTGACCAGGTTTTCGACCAACAACAACAACAACACCCCAACAGGGGTCAGAAGGACAAGGATGAAGACTAGGAAGCAATGACCATCACCTGTATACCCAGCAGGAGCGCACGCGCATCTACCGGCATGGAACCAGGTGTCGGGAAACTGCCGGTGCATTCTCGGCAGCGAGGGCCACGGTTTGCTGATACTGACAGCACACGCTTTCAGACCTTTTGACCTAGAAGGGCGACACGTGGTACTGCATTTAGCCTGGGCCTGTTGGGTAACCAAACAGTCGTCGACTGAGAGGCACTACCCATAAAGTACACACAGTCCCCTCACATACATGAGCATGTCACAGGTAGCTTGAGAAGGGGCCGTGGCAGCCTGGCTTTCAGCCCACCAGTCCGCCACTCCACACAACACACACGACAACTGGGCAGACTGCGTGGACTGAGTTAGAGCCTCAGTCGACTGCCTTCCGAGTCACGGTGCTCGATGCACCGTCTTCGTCTTCGACTCCAATCACACATGCAGCAGGGGAACCGCATGGAGAAGGAGCCGAGACGCACACTTCCCGCTTGCGTGGGAGGTGGCAGTTGGGTGCTTGCAGTGGGTGATGTTGATGTGCAGTGAGATGCTGGTGAGGGAGGGTGTGATGGTGTGATGCAGCCGCCGGTTGTCTACTGCAGGTTTTCGTGGACGTGCATATGACCTAATAGACCCATGCGGTGAGTAAATGTGCGAGTGCAATGTGGACAGTGGGGGATGGATACGGCGAGTGTAGGTTGATACTCCAGGAACTGGTTCGCCAGTCGCTGTGCGATGAATTCGCAAGTGACCGACCAGGCGGATGTGTGAGACAAAGGTGTGATCGCAATGAGGACAGGTATAGCTCAGGCCCTCATTACTGGTGTTGACGGCGGTGATGGTGTTTGTGGGTGTGACGGGATTGTGCGTAGTGTTGATGGTCACGGCAGACGCTACAACGGCAGATGTCTGGGCGGTGGAAGAGGAGGAGGAGGAGGAGGAGGAGGAGGAGGAGGAGGAGGATGGTAGTGGTGGTTGGTGAGGGCAGTCAACATTGGTTGGCAGCGCAGGATTCGAGGAAGGGGTGGACAGAGAGACGACGGTTGATGAAGTCTGGGTGCTGAAGTTGGTCCGGAGGTGTCCAACAAGTCCAATTGGCTATCGAAATGTCCGTTGACATCGTGGACACGTTGGAGGTGATTGGGTGTTGGCGTTGTGAGGCGGCAGCAGCAGTTGAGATTTGCGTGTCTCGCGTTTGGCTTTGGCAACGGTGATGCGGTGGGATTTGAAGATTGCTGCGCCTGTTTTCATTGTTCTCCGCGCAAGTCGGTCCCGGGAGAGGTCTTCCCAGTTTTCCGGGTTGATCTGCAGGCGCTTAATGGAGGTTTTAAGAGTATCCTGTAGCGCCGGACTTGACCTTCTTTTCGACATGCATCCGTCGCGACGTCTCCATAAAAAGTCGTTTGAGTGGCCTCTCGTCGTCCATCCGTACAAGGTGGCCACTCCAGCGTAATTGCAGTTGTCTCAGAATACCGTATATGATGAGGATTCCCGTCCTTTACAGTACGTCTGTGTCTGGGATCCGGTAATGCCACCTCAGCTTCAGTATTCGAGGAAGACGACTGAAGTGCAGGCGGTTGAGTCTACGTGCCTGCTTCATGTACACCGTCCAGGTCTCTGCCCCGTACAACGTCGGTAGGATGACGGTCTTGTACATCTTCAGTTTCGTGTTGAATTGAGGACCGTGACAATTCCAAACTGTGTTTTGACGATGACCGAAGGCTTAACTGGCCTTGAAAATCCGGTGGGCCACTTCATCGTCGATTTTGGTGCTGCGCGAGAGGTTGCTGCCCAGGTACGTGAAGTTGTCCACCACTTGCAGGTGGGTTCCATTGACGTTACGGCGCACTGTGGGCAGTATTGGGTGGCGGTTGGTGTACGACCACCACCTTCTCCGTGTTAATGATCAGGCCCTTGGATATCATCGGACTTGCGAGTTGTCCAAGCGTCCTGCACCTCCCAAAGGCGCTGTTGCACAAGTTGGAGACTGCGGTAGAGGGCTGCCTTCTTGTCGTCGGTGGGGCGGTTGACGTAGGCTTTGTACAGTCGGTTTTTCTGGACGAGGAGGTTGTTGATGGCGGCGTCGTTGTCGCCGAATCAGTCCTGATGTTGGCGACGTGCGCGACCGACGACTGCCAGGGTTGTTGACAGGACTGTGTCTTGCAGTTGACACCATCGTTTCTCCATGGAGGCGTTCTCGTCGGCGACGACTGGAAGGTTGGCTAGCCTATGAGCTAGTTCATTGCTCAAATGGAGATAGTGAGCAGGCAAAGACAGCACGGCAATATTCAGCTTACCTGGGGGTCGTTTACCTTGAGGTATCCTGGGAAGTTGTAGACGAATCCGCATCTCGCAGATGACGAGACGACAGTCAGTTCACCCATCAGCACCCAGAATCGCCTTTGCAATCAGTACATCCCACTGGTCTCGCCTCCTGACGAGGATAAAGTCCAGCAGCTGTCACTGTCGCAACTGAGATGCGTCCAGGTAGCAGTCTCTGGCATCGGGAGGCGGAAGTAGGTGTTGGCCAGGATGAGCCGGTGTTCTATGCAGGTTGGTAGGATGAGCAGGCAATTGTCGTTAGTCATGCAGACCATGGGGACCCGGCACTCCTCTCTGGGTAGCATGGTCTGTCTCGACTAGGTCACGACTAGGCCTTCACACAAACACCAGGTGGGCGTGCAGGTCCTCGTAAAATTCGTTCCTTGCAGATTCAGGGCAGGTCATTGGGGGAGCGTAGACACTGACGATAGTGGCGAATTTGCCTCCCCGGAGAGGCAAGCGGAGGCTCATCAGGTGATCGTTGATACCCTGCTGCAAACAGCGCAGTCGTCCCACGATGTCGTTCTGGATGGCAAAGGCGACGCACGCGTCCCGTCGCCTTGCCTTAGGGAGACCGTTCCAGAAGGTGTAGCCGGAACCCGCCTCCTCCAATTGGCCTTGCTCGGAGAGCCAGGTTTCGCTGAGTGCAGCGATGTCTACCTTGTAACGTGCCAGTTCCCGAGCCACTAGCGCCGTCCTCCGTTCCGGTCGATTGGTCCTGGGATTGTCTAAAAGGGAACGAATATTCCAGACGGCCAGAGTGAGCGGACTCACCCTACCAGTCTGGCGAGTGGGGCGGCGGGGAATAGGATAAAGATGAGAGTGTGTTGTTTCCGGTTTGATTGTTTCAACCGTGAGTTTTTCACCTGCGGCCACGGTCAGCCTGCAGACGGCGTGGGTCCCCAGAATTTGTTTAGAGCATCTTTTCTAGCCCCACCCCCCTCGCAGGGCTGAGCAGTGCTCTCCATAAATAGGGCTGCTCAGTTGTTCCAGGCGTGTGTCAAACTTCCGGAACACTTTGACCCTCTCCTACTGCAAGCGTATGATCCGCTAAGTAATCGACGACATGACGGTCTCAAATTCGCAAATCAGCGCCTTCCACACTGTAATAAATCAGACAGGCTTGAATCTACTATGACGCGTCAAGAGTCGTGGCCTCGAAGGCTGCCAACTGACGTCACTCCTCATGGGACTAATTGCAGGGGTCACGTTGCAATGGCTTGCCTCCAATATGGCCTTCGTGGTACTCTTATTTATGTGAGCTCTGACCCGCCCTTACAGTACCCCGCTACATGTTGTGGGGGCCATGTCATGTGTGACACACGTAGACGGGCTGTTTGGCTTCGTAAGTCACTGTGCTCGCAACCACACCCGGCCGGTCAGAGCTGCAGATATTCTAAGCCACAGTTAAGACACGAAGAGTAAGGACTCACCACACCGAGACCCTGACAGTAGCCGACATCAGTATAGAGCCAAGCAATGGCCAGGAGCAAGCGCTTTAGCCGAGGCACGCCGACGGAAGCAGCCGAGCAGAAGCAGATATTGTTTGGCATTGTGCGGAGCAGGTCCTGTGAAAAAGCAGAGTTGAATGATGCTGTAGCATGAGTTCGTCAACATCTTCGTGAGGCTAGTACCTGCAGGCCATCAATAAGGACAGTTATTAGGCCAGAAAATCATCAGTATTGTTACAAGTGTCCGTAGGTTCAACGGATTTTCGTGGCCTTTTTGTCAAATGACGTGACGCTTCTAGCTAAGACCGACGGGTTTCCAAAACGGGTTGGGGTGGCTATGTGAGACCTACCGCAGGATCTTCATTGAACAAGTGTCCGAGGGGAGTCTGGTTCGCGCGGGCCGACGGGCTAGCGCGTGCGTAGCACATGAAAGAAGTCACTCACAATATTCGGTATTAGCTCCAACCGGCCCGACTCAGTCCTGACATCGAGGAGAGTGAAGTCAATTTTGCACGATATTTCCCTGCCATAACTAGAATGACGAGCACTTAGACTACCATATCACCTTAAAAGTCATGGGTTTGAAGTTGACGTCTGACAGGATAAATTAGTCCCTGAGACCACGAATGCGGTTACGATGGCTCTCCCTTCAGCTGTCTCTGACAGAAAATCCTAATAAGATAGTATCCGGGGGCGCGAGATCAGCTTTGTCTCGGTTGAGAAATAAAGTACGTGAGCGACAAGAGAAATAGGGGACTGGGGGTCTTAATAGGCACATCGGTCACGCTCATCGTCAGTAGTTGTAATTAAGTGTTACCGACGAAAAACGAACGAGGTAGATACTGAGCAAGTTGCCCGTACTATTATGTAAATCGTGCAGAAGTCACCAACTGCAAAGATAGTCGACATGCTAGATTGAAAACGAGCAGGTCTGCAAGAACTCCATATACATAAGGTAAAACTTGAAGGAAACGACTGATTTTCCACCCAAGAATCATGCAAAAAAGAAAACAAGGATGCCTTAAAATTCCCGATGATTGCGTGATAGTTCAGGCGTCGGATCCCGGGAAGAGGAGTTGCCTGTTAGCCTAGCTGCTGGCTACCCGGCGCGTCCACAGGTGGCGGATAGTGGGACGACCTTCAGTGAAGGTTAGCTGCGAAATAAGCAGACTCAGGTCTGACGAATAAGCAGTCGCGGACCAGCAGCGACATTGCTAACAGGGTGCGGTGGGCTGAGGCCTGGCACGCTCAAAGCCTTACAAAAAGCCGCAAAACCCAATGACGGCATCGTGACATGGAGATCGTAAACCCCCATTAAATAAGTTTAATTGCTTCCGCTGCCTTGTGCTTAGGCTTTTAAGCCAAAGCGCTAGAGAGGACAACCTCGAACAAACAGTCCGAGCGGCTGTTGGGGACCCACCCGTATTCGCGATTCCCAAGAAACCTCATGAAATATGTCCGATCACAGTATTACGACCCATGCTACAGCGTCCGCGGGAACCGACGCGCTCCGCAACCCTGGTCCAGTGGTGCGGGCGAATAGTATGCGAGCTGGACTACTCAATCGTGGACGGACTCTCGGTATTGGATGCTGGAATGTGCGAACGTTCCTGGACTCCGGTACCCAAAGTCTGACCGCACACAGCCTTTATCAGTACAACGTGGATGTCTGCCGTCTGTCTGAAGTTTGACTCCCTGACTCAGGCTCCCGTGAAATAAAGATCCCGGGAGTCGAATTACATTTACCCTGTACCACAGCGGCCCGCGCGATTCTTCTGGTCGACACGGTGTGGCGATCGCCCTATCGCAACAAGCGGATCTCGAGCTACTTGCTTTGGAACCAGTCAATGACCGGATGGCCTACGTGCGACTGAAGGGCCACTTTACGAACATCTTAATCGTCTCTGTGTACGCACCAACTTCGGCTGCCGAACAGCGCGATAAAGAGGCGTTTTACTCTCAGTTGCAAGCGCTAGTTGTAAGACTGTCCCGCCGCGATCTGCTGATTGTTGCTGACGATTGGAATGGTCGAGCTGGACCTGGCGACCCCACAATCAGTCATCTTGGCCGCTTTGGGCTTGGTTCCCGATGCGAAAATGGTGCGATTGCCGAACTTCGTTGACCGAAACCGACTGCTTGTCACCAACATATGTTTCCAGCATCGCAAAAAGCATCTGCTGACTTGGTATTCAAACGACGGTCATACGGCCAGTCAGATTGACTACATACTAGTCAGCTCAAGGTTCTGTAGCTGGGTTCACGATAGCAGATCGATGCGTGGTACCGAGACTGGTAACGCCCATGGGTCGAACCATGTCCTCGTCAGTACACGCTTGAAAGTTCATCTCTCATCCGCGCCAAAAATGCCACGTTCTAGACGCCTCGATGTCGCAAAAATACGGCGAGCCAGCACTGCCGAGGCCCTAAGCAGGGAAATCCGGACCTGTTTTACGAACCGAGCCGACGGAGGAGTCAGTAACCAGTGGTCGTCACTGAAGACTTCAGTCTATGAGGCAGCTGAAAAAACCCTTGGATACGCCCAGTGACGCCGCAGTGACTGGATCCGCGGAAGAACCCTGCAGTTGTCTGCTCTGACGGCTCGAGACAGGTCCCGCAACGATGACTGCTTCCGCCAACTTCGGACGATGACGGCAAAATCGGCCAGGGATGACCGGAAGCAATATTGGGCTGAAATAGCGACCTCCATGGAACAGGCCTCGAACGTTGGTGACACTCAAAAGCTCTACCGTCTGATCCGCCAAGTTAGCGGTAAGCCCTCTACACTGAGTGACTCCGTTCGCGATGTGAACGGCGGCTTTATTGCTGACAACTCGGCAAAAGTCGGGCGCTGGCGTGAGCACTTTGAGCACCATCTCAACTTCGATACCCAACCTACCTCGCCCTTGCTCTCCTCTACAGCGGAGTTTCTTCCCTCTCCTGCCTATGCAGTGCCATGCGACACCCCCTCTGAAGGAGAAGTCGCCGATGCCATACGAAAGTTGCGCAACAATAAGGTACCCGGAGAAGACGGTATACCCGCTGAAATCTTCAAGTCTTGTGTCGACATTCTGACGCCCTGGCTCCATGAGGTGATTGAACTAGCGTGGAGAGACGAGGTTGTTCCTGATGACTGGGGCTTAGGCATCCTCGTACCTATCCTCAAGAAGGGGATAAGACGAGATGCGAGAACTACCGCGGCATAAGTCTCACCGACGTTGCTGCGAATATCTTCGCTATTGTCCTACTCGGGCGATTCCAGGATGTGCGTGACTCAATGACGAGGCCCAACCAAGCCGGATTTCGTGCTGGACGTGCATGCACAGACCAGATATTTACACTGAGGCGCATTCTCGAATTTCGCCATAGCTAAAAACAACCAACGGACGTCTGCTTCATTGACTTTGCCGCCGCGTTCGACTCCGTTCACCGTGAGTCCCTGTGGCGGATAATGGCGCTAGATGGTGTACCGGTAAAAATCATTGCCCTGATCAAGGCCTATTATCGCTCCACTACTGCGAGAGTCCTGCTCCGCAACAATCTTTCCCAACCGTTCGGTATTCGGTCTGGCGTCCGACAGGGTTGTATCCTGTCACCCATACTGTTCAACTATGCTATTGACTGGATCCTCGGGAAGGCCCTACGCGAAAGTTACGGCATTGAGTTTGCACCCGGAGATCGACTGACTAATCTCGACTATGCCGATGATATCGCCTTACTTGCTTCAAGTTTTGGTGATCTGCAGTCTATGGTGTCACGGGTGAGCGAGGTCGCTAAATCGGTCTGTCCATAAACGCTGGGAAGATTAAAGTGTTTTCAAGCTGCATCCCTGACCAGGAGAGGGCACCCCTCGGGATTGATCGCTGTCAAACTGAAGAAGTAAACGATTTTAAATACCTTGGATCGAGGCTGCTGCCTAATGGACAGAGTAAGGAGGACATTGTCTCCCGAATCGATGCTGCCCGCTGGGTTTTCTCAAGCCTTCGGAAATGCCTGTGGAACCGACGTGACCTCTCCATCGCCACTAAGATTCGCGTGTACCGTACATCTGTCCGGTCTGTCCTTCTCTACGGTTGTGAATGCTGGGCTTGGCATGTGGAGGACGAGCGAAAACTGGAGGTATTTGAAAACCACTGCTTGACAATCATTCTTCGAGTGAACTTCACCGACTTCGTCTCAAATGAGACAGTCCGCGCTCGCTGCGACATCATCGCAAAGATAACTCAGGCCATCCAAGAAAGGCGACTGAAGTGGTTCGGGAACGTTCTTCGTCGTCCACCTCAGGAGCTCAGTGTTACTGCCCTCGATCCGGCACCGTTGCCCCATTGGAGACGTCGAAGAAGGGGTCAGTTCAAAACCTGGCTCGACACAGTTCGCCAAGACATGGAGGTGGTTCTTGGACCTTCGGTATTCGGTCTACGTCGTTGGAGAAGAGAATGGGTTGAGCTGTCCAGATCTGCCGCCGCGGATCGTCACGCGTGGATAGGTACAGGTCGGGACATCGAGATCAGCTAGATCAGGCATGATCACAGCCGTATCAACCAACCCCAACCCCAAGCGTCGGATCAAAGTTTATCGTTGGATGCATTGCAAACGGTTTTAGGATTATTCAACTTCTCGATAACCGGGCAAATCAATGGCAAAAGTAATAACGGTTCGTGGCCGATAAAGGATAAAAAGCAGGGATTGTCAACTAACCTTTTCAATCTGGTTCACCGTATGAGGAGATAGGGAACTGCTGCAGTGAACGAGGTCGGCGTAAGTGAGGGAAGGTTGCTGACTAGCGGCTTGTTTCTGCTTTTCAAAGGCCCCCGAAAGTCGCGGCCAAATTTTAGATCGAAAGCAATGTGGGATACCCCCGTTACCCTTGAGGGAGGGTCCTTCGGCGTCATCTCTTGAGATTCCTATCCAAACGGGCGCCTTGGCCCGCGGGTCAGGGATGCCGCGAATCAGTTCAGTTAGTCGGGGGGACGGAGTGATCTGAGGTACAATGCGAGACCATAAGGACTCTTCCTGAGATAACATTCCATTGTCTAGTTCACCTAACTCCTCCGGTACACCGAGACGGTTAGTATAGGAAAACTCGAGGCAAACTAACCAGTTTCGGCGACTATCAACAGAGTCGATGAAAGGAGTCATTGGGAGACCAGATTCTAGGGAGAATTGAAAAATTAGGCACATAGAAACCGTAGGGAGCATTTACAAAACACTCCTGCCTGAATGAAGGAGCAATGCGTCAAGCCCCGTATTTTGCCAGTAATTATATGTATATATGCTGACAAAATACAAGCAATAAATATATATATATATATGAGATGGAGCCGACAAAGACAAGCGAGACCGGAACGGCCATTTCTGGCTTATTAGCCGTCATCAACCAGTCATACCCAACCCCAAGTGTGGATCACTTGAGATTCGAACCCGGGATCTTTGGTCATGGAGTTTGACGCTCTACCATTGAGCCACGGGCCGTTGTCCTGTCGGTTGTGATCGTGAATATTAATTATGACAGTGGGCGCTCGCCGATCAGGTTACGGAACATTCTCGTTGCGTTGTGCCTTGGGGCTCATACTAGAACCCTCGCAAGCAGTCGCACAGCGACTAGTAGTAGACATAGATGAGATGATATATATATATATATCGTCTCTTCTTCTCATACATATATATATATATGGTCGGGGGCGCTCACCGATCGTTCAT